CCCCGAGCAGGGCCCAGCAGCTGGGGGTTGAGGGCTCAGAGCCCTCTCAGCCTGATGGTGGTGGCCCTCAGTCTCTTCCCCGTCCGGGAGCTCCCATTGTCAGAGGGAGGAAATGGGATCGGGAGGGAAGTATGCCTGGAGATCAGGGGAGTCCCTGAAATCTGAGCACTGGGCTCACAACTCCACCCCGGAGCCAGACTTGTCCCCTGCCTCACTCCTCCTGCCCCTGGGCTCAGCAGCAGGCTGGCCACTCCCCCGTCCCCCGTCCTCGCTTTAACTTCCTTCTGTCCTGGGCCCTGTGGCTTCACCACCCACACAGCCACCTGGCACACTCTCTGCCCTCCTTGCCACCTCTCCCCCCAAGATTGAGAAGGTGGATCTGAGGGACGAAGGTGTCTACACTTGTGCAGCCACCAGCCTGGCTGGGGAGAGCAGGAGGGAAGTGGCGCTGAAGGTTTTGGGTGAGCACGTGGGCGCTGGTGGGGCCCAGGGCTGGGCATGGCTAGCAATCCCTTGAAGGCCCTTGGGGCTGGGGCTGGGGGGGTGGGGGGTGGGCACTTGACTTTAGAAGAAATATAAAGTCCTGAAGTGGAAGCATAAACAGTGGCTCCTTGGCCCCTTGTGGTTGTTTTTGGTGGACTTTTTAGTGGCAGCTCTTGCCGAGTTCACATTTACCTGTGCTTATTTTTCTCATTTTGGGGGTTCATTTGCAGGGAGTCCCCGTCCTTGTCATTCTCCATAGCTGCATGAGATCCTGCCTCCCCAGTGTTGCTGTCCCTGAGATGCTGGGGGCTGGGATGGTTTCTGTATCATTGCAGTTGTGATTGCAGCCTGCTGCTCTTTGTTCTTGAACCTGGTTCCAGGAGTGGGGTTTCTTGGTCAGAGGACATGAGCTGTTTAGAGGCCTTGTCGCCCAGGACTTCTGGGGTAGATGGGGGAGGGCACTGGGGACGGCTGGGATTGGAGTTACCCAGAGCCTGTACCCACCAAGCTGATTCTCTCCTTGTCACCCCTCAGTGCCCCCCAACATCGAGCCAGGCCCAGTCAACAAGGCAGTGCTGGAAAATGCCTCCGTGAGCTTGGAGTGTTTGGCTTCGGGTGTGCCCCCTCCCGGTGAGGTCCCTCCTCCTGGCTGAGAACCAACTCCAGCCAGCCCCAGTTTACCATCTCACGAGGCTGGCAAGTGCCCTAGGCACCCTGTGGCTCTGGACGTAGAGGGGAGACATCAGCCGGCCCTCTCCCCAGTTCCCCTGTCTCCCTCTCTTCTTTCTCAACAATGCCTCTCATACCAAGGCATCGCTGGGCCCAGAGTCTTTGCACCAGGATCTGAAGCAAGCCTGCAGGGCTTCTGCTCAGAGCTTGCAACCTCATGGGGCTGGGGGCTATAGGGTAGGATCGGGACCTCCAAGTCACCATCCGTCTAGACCAGCCATTGAGGAAGGGGTTGGTGCTTGGGGCCAGGTGTGGGTGTTCGGCACATGGGACGGAGGGAGGGGGGACCAGGCCCGCCCCGCTTTGCCTGGGGTCAGCAAGCCCTGGGGATGTTTGCCCTTTCCCCTGGTTGCCCCTGCTGGGGCCTGGCAGGATGTAAGGAAGCTGCAGAAACATGCTGGTCTGGGCTCCCCAGAGCCTCCAAATCTCTCCCAGGTGAGAGGTCTGGGTGGGGGGAGGAGGGGAGGGGCAGACTGGGTTTGCCTGTCCCGCCCCGGCTGGCCCCACCGCTGCCCGTGGGGCTTCCTTCCTCTCTGCCCTCAGCCCTGTCTCTGGCCATGCTGCCTTGCTCCACCTACTCTCCCCTGCCCGAATGAAGAGCCCTGGGCTTTCTCCAGTGCCTGAAAAAAGTGTGGCCATCCTGGAAGCTTCTCTTGGATGCCCACGACACCAGCAGAGCCCGAAGGGTTGGCAGAACCCCTTGCGTTTCTCTTCTCTTCCCCAGATGTCTCCTGGTTCAAAGGCCGCCAGCCTGTCGCTGCCCGGACAGGAGTGACGGTGTCAGCTGATGGGCGAGTTCTCCACATTGAGCGGGCCCGACTTTCTGACGCTGGAAGCTACCGTTGTGTGGCCTCCAACGTGGCAGGCAGCACGGAGCTGCAGCACGGCCTGCGGGTCAATGGTGAGCTGCCTGGGACCTACAGGGGCTGTGTCCAGAAAGTTGTCCTTTTGTCCACTTGTTGGTTCCGGGCACCTCTCCATATCTACCCACCTACCCATCAATCCACCCATCCATCTATCTACTTATTCATTCATTTATCCATCCACCCAAATACTCATTCAGACAACCAGACAGGCAGGCAGCCATCCATCCACCATCCATCCATTCATCCACCTGACCATCCAGCCAGGTGTTCACCCACCTATCCACCCGTCCACCCATCCATCACCCATCCACCCATCCATCCATCGACCCATGCAGATAGGCAGCCATCCATCCAACCATCCTTGCATTTGTGCGTGCAAGCATGCAACTGTCCATTAGTTGATCCATTCATCCAGACAGCCACGCATGCCAATGTCTGCCCATTCATCCGCTGATTCCATCCACCCATCCATCCATCCTTCCATCACCTACCCATCCATCTTCATTTGTCCTCCCAAGCATCCATTTGTCGACCCATCTAACCATCTACTGCCCATCCCCTCATCCATTTGGCCACCCATTCCTCCATCTATCTGCCTTCTGCCCAACAACGTTTATTGAGTTCATGCTCTGGAACAGACCCCTGGCCTACAGCCCTGAATAAGGCAGACCTAGGATTTCTCAGTCCTGTGGAGGATACAGTAATCAGATCATTCCCCAATGTATGACTTAATGACAATTTGAGGTACAACCGAGCACCTGTAATGGGTCACTCACCTGGCCTGGGGAGTCCAGGAGGTATCTTGGACACCTGGATACCTGAATTTCCCCAGGCTACAGAGACCTGGGGAATTTGAGAAACTGAAGGAGGCTGGGGGCCTGGAGCTTACAATACAGCAAAAGGAGGCCATGATGACGCAGGTGGCTGCGTGGAGGCGGGATTTCTCGGGCCTCTTGGGCCATGGGAGAGGTCGGGTCTTTATCCTAAGAGCAGTGGACAGCTGGACGGGGGCCCAGCAGTGGACAGCTGCCCGTTTCTGCCCAAGAGGGCTACCTGTAGGATGGTGTTTCATCTGATACCTCTAGGAAGTGCCATGTCCAGGGCACCTTGCTCCCTGCACCATCCCCATAAGTGACCTCCTGCTGACCAGAGGCCTGAGGTCGGGTGCTTCTGCTACTTCCTAGTGGGTCGACCTTGGGCAGGTGACTTGTCCTCTCTGAGCCTCGGTTTCCCCTCGGTGGAAGCCCCATGGCCGTGCAGAAAGGACAGAATGAGCCTCCCAGAAGACTGTAGGGTGGCTGCCTGTGTCTGGATGGCTGCTCCTGCTTCCACCTGGGCCAGGCACCCCTGGGGGAATGGGGTACTCAGCCAGTGGCCCTGCCTGCCTGCTTTGCCCCCAGAGGGGCTCAGCCTATGTCCCGTGTCGCCCCATCCTGTAGTGCCCCCTCGAATCATGCTGCCACCCAGCCTGCCAGGCCCTGTGCACGTCAACACCCCCGTCCAGCTGACCTGCAATGCCACGGGTGCCCCCAGCCCCACACTGATGTGGCTGAAGGATGGAAACCCCGTGTCGGCGGTGGGGACCCCTGGCCTCCAGGTCGGTAGGGCTGGGTGGCCCTGGCTCCCCCTCCAGGCACCTCCCGTGGGTGCTGGGAGCAGAGGTGAAGGGAGTGGCAGTGCCAGCCCAGGGCTGTGGGCTGGGGGAGGGAGAGGGGGCTGAACAGACACACCCAGAGCCCCTTGGCCCCACGGAAGCATAATGAAGTCCACCAGCACAAGCCATCTACTTAATTTAAAATGCTTTTGTAGCCGGGCTTGGTGGGTCAGCCTGTAATCCCGTGCTTTGGGATGCTGAGGTGAGTGGATTGCCTGAGCCCGCGGGTTCGAGACCCGCCTGGGCAACTTGGCGAGACCTCATCTCTACAATAAATCAAAAAATGAGCCGGGCGTGGTAGTGCACGCCTATAGTTCCAGCTACTTGGAAGGCTGAGGTAGAAGGATCGCCGGAGTCCAGCAGGTCGAGGCTGCGGTGGCCGGGAGCGGCCACTGTACTCCAGTCTGGGCGATAGAGTGAGACTCCAACTCAAAAAAAAAAAAAAAAAAAGGCTTTTGTAGCCACATTAAACACAGCAAGAAAAAATAGGCAAGATCAATTTTAATAATACATGTTAGTTAATTCATATAGCCAAAATTGGCCAAATATGGTGGCTCACACCTGTAATCTGGCACTTTGGGAGGTCGAAGTGGGAGGATCACTTGAGTTCGGGAGTTCAACACCAGCTATGGACAACATAGTGAGACCGTATCTTTATAAGCTTAAATATATATATGATATATATATATTTTAAATAGTTTCATTTCATCATGTAATCAATATAAAAATTCATTAATGATCATGCCTGTAATTCCAGTGCTTTGGGAGGCCAAGGTGGGAGGATAATTTGAGACCAGGAGTTCAAGACCAGCCAGAACAACACAGTGAGAGCTCGTCTCTACAAAAACAATTTTTTAAAAAAATTTGCTGGGCATGGTGGTACATACCTATAGTCTCAGCTACTTGGGAGGCTGATGCAGAAGGATCTCTTGAGCCTGGGAGGTCGAGGCTGCAGTGAGCTATGATCACACCACTGCACTCCAGCCTGGGCAACAGAGTAAGACTCTGCCTCTAAAAATAATTAATTAAAGTTATTCATGAGACATTTGACATTCTTCTTTCCATACTAATTCTTTGAAGTCTGGTGTGTATTTTGCACCTGAGACCCATCTCAGTTTGGACTGGCCACATCTCAAGGGCTCACTGGCCACATGTGATGAGAGGCCACCACAGCGTGGCTCTAGGAGACTCTTCTGGGAGACCGATGTAATTGCCCACCAACTTCAGAGGTCCTGAGCTCAGGATTGCCTTCTATTATGGGAGCCCTGGGGGTCTGGGCAGGCAGCAGGGCCAGCTCATGAAGAGGTTGCCTGATGTGGGCTTCCGCCTGGGGCCGCAGGTCTTCCCTGGGGGCCAGGTCCTCACCTTGGCCAGCGCCCGGGCCTCCGACTCGGGCCGGTACTCCTGCGTGGCGGTGAGTGTGGTGGGCGAGGACCGCCGGGACGTCGTCCTGCAGGTCCACAGTGAGTGTTAGGCCAGCGGCTCCAGGAAGGTGGGTGGGGGCATCCCTGGCGACATCGAGGGAGAGGGGGGCTGGATGGAGGGACACCCACCTGAGACTGGCTGCCTTTCAGTGGGGGTCGGTGGCCCCCCAGAGACATGTCCTGAAGTGGGAGCTCCCCCGAGGTGAGGGGGCAGGAGCTCCGTGCTCAGGAAGTGGGGGAAGGGATGTGACCCTGCAGGAGAGCAGTGTGGGGCGGTAGCTAGGGACTCGAGTGTCACAGATGTGGGGTTCCAGCCCTGCCTCCATAACCTTGGGCTAGTCACCGTGCTTCTCTGAGCCTCTGTTTCTTCATCTAAATTGGGAGGAAAGTCCAGGTGTGGTGGCTTACTCCTGTGATCCCAGCATTTTGGGAGGCCAAGGTCAGAGGAGAGCCCAAGAGTTTGAGACCAGCCTCATCCCTTCATAAAATAAAAAAAATAAGCCAGGTGTGGGGGCGCACACCTGTAGTCTCAGCTACTCAGGAGGCTGAGGCAGGAGGATTGCCCGAGCCCAGGTGTTCAAAGCTGCAGTGAGCTGGAATCGTGCTTCTGCCCTGTAGCCTGGGTGACAGAGTGAGACCCCAACTCAAAAAATAAATAAATAAAATTTAACGTTGAGATACTTGTAGATTCACAGACAGTTGTAAGAAAGAAAGCAGAGACATCCGAGCTCCCTTTCCTCAGTTTCCCTCAGTGGCAATGGCCGTTGTTGCAGTCCCCCACCTCGCTCAGATTGGGGTCTCCTTTCACAGCAGGACTGTGCCGGCAGTGGGGGGAGGGGAGGCTCAGGACGGCCTCTGCTTAGGGGACGCCCACCCCCGGGTGTTCGCTCCCAGCCCCACCCCGTGCCTGAGACAGGGCCCCCTGCCCTCCGGCCCTCCCACAGTGCCCCCAAGCATCCTGGGAGAAGAGCTGAACGTGTCCGTCGTGGCCAACGAGTCCGTGACCCTGGAATGCCGGAGCCACGCCGTGCCCCCTCCCGTGCTGAGCTGGCGGAAGAACGGGCGGGTCCTGGAGCCCCGACCCGGAGTCCGCCTCTCCCCGGATAAGGCCTTGCTCGAGGTGTGCAGCCTCCCGGTGGCCTCCACCTTGGGCCACAGGCAGGGCGCGGCTGTGGGGATCCCAGCACCCCCTTGAGAGATGCCCCCAGGGACCTGGGGAACCAAGCCCCAGGGCTTCCCTCGGGGCCCCCCACGCAGCTGAATGGGAGTCCTGCTCACCCGCCTGCCCCTCCTTCTCCTCTGCACCTTATGATGTGATCACTCCCCGCCTGGAGCTCCAAGTTTCCATTCTTCAAAGCCGTAGTCTAGCCCCATCCCCTCCGTGCCAGGATCTGACCGCCAAGGACAGGTCTCCACCCCCAC